ACACAAACGTTTGAGCACTTCCTGTGTCTAAGCTGATTCCCCGCTCTTAATCTATTACCTATCAACACAGATATCGGCAAAGCTACAGGCAGGCAGGGTTCAAAGGTTTTTGTTTATTTTAATTTGTTTCTACTTTGTAGATTAATACTGAAGACATCAAAACTATGTAAGAACACATATGGAATTATCTAGTTAACAAAAAAGTGTTACAAAAATCAAGAATATGATTTTTATTTTAGATTCTTCAAAATAGCCCCCTTTAGCACGAGTAGCACACTCTTGGCTTCTCTCATACCCCTTTCACACCAACGGTGTTTCAGGGCCGGTTCGGTGCTGGTGCTTGAAAAGCACCGGGTTTTCCTGTTCACACCGCAGCGGAGCAGCGTCATAGCTCCAGAATCCGGTTCGTTTTGAGCACCAAAAAGTTGTCCGTCTAGAAGCAAGAACCGCATACGTCACGCTTACGTCGGAGGGGGGCGAGATTAACCTGAGCTAACACTTAAGGCGAGTACGGCAAATAAAAGTTGTAACATAACAAGCAGTAGTGCTGAGCAAAGTGACTAGAACGCAACCACACACTTGTTAAAAAAAACACACTTTATAAAGTCAGGCAACACTAACCAGGCTTCGTGTGATTCTGTTTATTTGTACCTTACTTTGACCATCCGTTCGCTGTTATTGATCATTGTGGAGAGCAGGCAGACGTTTTGTTTGTTATTATAGCAGCTATCGGATGGAATCAATACATGGGCTGCACAGGTTGTCATGTCCGACTATCACAAGTAGAATCATAATGAAAAATACGTCGGTAAAAAGTGCCTGTAGAAAACTGCTTAGAAAGTAGTCAGTTTAGCTTCGGTTGCTATGCTAACATCACCCATGTTATACCAGAGAAACTTTCATAACAGCGTTGTGATGCCAAACAGCGTCAATTCAGACTGACACCAAACAGCGTCAATTCAGACTGACACACATTCACTTAAGGGGAACTGGGGATATGTATCAGCTGCTTGTGTGACAGTCAGACAGTGAATACTTTAGAGCCGTGTGAGCTAACCCGGAGCTAACGGGAGAATACACTCCCGTTGAAGAGCAGCCAGCACTGCAGCGGTCGGTAAATGCCGCTGAAACACATTGATAAACAATGAACCACGGCACTCTGGAGAAAAGTATAAGGTTGGAGAAGTCGTTATTTAATTTAATCTGGCTTCGTATGATTAAAAGCAACGCAGTCCCCGGCCCGTTGTTGTTGTGAGGTGAGCTCCGGCGTTGGGGAGAAACTCAGCGACGTAAACTGTGACGTCATGACGCAGCAGTGGCAGCACCAGTCGGGCTCTGAGCGGTGTGAAAAGAGCCGGCGCTAAACCGAAGAACCGGTTCTGAACCAGAAAAGCTCTAGCACGGAGCTTGAACCGGAGTTGCGTTGGTGTGAAAGGGGCATCAGTCAGCTTCATGAGGTAGACACCGGGAATGGTTTTCAATTAACACGTGTGCCTTGCAGGAGTCAATGTGTGGAATGACTTGCCTTCTTAATGTGTTTGAGACCATCAGTTGTGTTGTGCAGAGGTAGAGTTAGTGCACAGTGGAAAGCCCTATTTGACTACTGTTGTAATCCATATTATGGCAAGAACCACTCAACCCAGTAAAGAGAAACGGCCAAAAATTAAAGCACCTCAGATTAGAGCCCACATAAATGATCACAGAGCTCAAGGAGCAGACAATCTTAACATCCACTGTTCAGAGGAGACAGCGTGAATCAGGCCTTCATGGTCCAATTGCTGCAAAGATCCACTACTGAAGATGAACAACAAGAAGAAGAGAATTGTTTGGGCCAAGAAACACAAGGATTGGACATTAGACAGTGGAAATCTGTACTTTGGTCTGATCGGTCTGATTTAGAGATTTTTGGTTCCAACCTCCGTGTCTTTGTGAGACGCAGAGAAGGTGAGTGGATGGTTTCTGCATGAGTGGTTCCCACCGTGAAGCATGGAGGAGGTGTGAGGGTGGGGGGGGGGGCTTTGCTGGTGTCACTGTTGGTGATTTATTCAGAATTCAAGGCACCCTTAACCAGCATGGCTACCACAGCATTCTGCAGTAGCCAGCAAAATACAAATCATATTCTGGATTTGTTTACTAGATAATTCCATATGTGTTCTTTTATAGTTTTGATGTCTTGAGTATACATCTACAAAGTAGAACCAATTTAAATAAATAAAAAACTTCAAATGAGAAGATGTGTCCAAACTTTTGACTTTGTCTAATACTAGTGTATATCTCTCTCAAAATATATATATATATATACAGAATATATTATAAATACATGTTGGCAATAATTGATTGATGAGATTTTACATTAATTTATATTAAGGTTTTAATTACTTAATGACCATATTCTTTATCAAGTAACATTTTAGATGTGTTTAATTGATTATTGAACATATTTATTCATTGATTTTTTTATGAATTATTCTCCCGCAATTTGAATGAATCCAAAGTGTTGTTTTTATTTGCTTTTTACACATTTAAAAAGAAAAAGTGAATAAAGAAGCACATTAAAACTAAATGATCAATTTATGTCACATTTAATCAACTAGTGCCTACATGCATGGGTAATATTTAAATCAGTAAATAAATGGCATAATATTCAATGTATGTATTTTTATAAATATATTTATTTTGGTAGGTTTGCTCTTCCGTAATAAATTATAATTATTATAATAAAGTACATTTGTCTAATAATACTTCCATACTTTTACTTAAATAAGATATGAATGCAGTACTTTAACTTGTAATTGAGTATTTTTATAGTGTTTGTACTTTTACTGCAGGATCTACAGCAAGTGCTGATAAAGGGTCGAAAGCAGGGTTCGAGTTATGTGGGAGCCAATGGGAGCTGAGCTCTCACGGATGCAGTGAAATCATACATCTGTTGGGGTCGCTAATACATTACCAACAACCATTATTTTAATCAAAAATAATGCATGTGTCAATGTAATGAGTATTACTTACGTTAACGAGGTAAATAGGCTAAAAGAAAAACATGTTTTCCAAAAGAACTACGCATCTCTTGAATGACAATATGCCTGCACTGCACCTCCAAGGTGCGCAATACATTATTACGCAATCTATGCCTGTGAGCGTGCTGCGCGAGCCGAGATGATGTGTGTGTGCGTAGTTGAACCTTTTCGTATTTAAGTTTGTAGCAAGTAGAGGGCTGCTGCGCGCTTGCGTACCGAGCCCCGGTATTAAACGGGCCCCGGGGCTGAATTATTAAAGACCGTGGTACCGTTAAGCTCCAACGTTATCGGTCTTTTTTTTATGCTGCTGCAACAAAAACAATTTCCCAAATTGGGATCAATAAAGTACCATCTTATCATCTTATCTCTCTTATCTTATCGGTACTGGAGACATGTACAAAATATGTCATATGTATTATTGCTACACAAACATTATATTGCAGTTTTAGTGTCGAACAACTCCGTTTCTAATATGCAAAAAGACTGCAAAATGCGTCTATAATTATTTTTGCTACATGCAGCAACACACACACATGGAGGAGATGGCGGAGAGAACGCGCTCTGAGGTGTGGTTAAACTTTACCCGTCTCCAGGTGGATAATGCTCGTTACCAAAATAGTTTATCATCTAAGCAATTTGTCGAAACATTTAGCAAAAGTGCTCCACATTCAGGCGGAGAAATGCACCTGGTTCGACTGTCTTTCTAGTAGCGCTGTAGCCCCCTCCACGAGTAACTTTTCCACGTCAGGTATTATGTATGCTAGCAGCAACACACGGAGTTAACTAAATATACAAACATTGGTTAATGATTAGAGGTAACTGAGTTATTTATTTTGTTAAAGTTTCAGCTATTCTGTTTACAATTCTGTCATCAGATTACTTAATATGATTTGTTAAAACATTGTTGTTTCTTTTGATGTGAAATATTATGTATTTAAATTGAAATAAAAAGCAATGTTAGTTTTGTTCACAATTTGTTTAGTTAGTTTACCTTTTTTTTCTCTCCAAAAGAACCGATGAAAGTACTGTTAAAGGACCGGATTGATAAGCGGTATCGATAAAAGTAGTAGTACTGTTAAAACCTTGACAATACCCATCCCTATGTGTGTGTGTGTGTATATATATATATATATATATCAGCAAAAACACGTGGGTTTGCTATCCTGGCTCCAAAATGGTGGAATGAGCTCCCCATTGAAATCAGGACAGCAGATAGCTTGCACAACTCATCTCTTTCGACTCCACTTCGAGCGATAGAATTACTAACAAAGAATTGCTAACAAAGCCCTTATTAGACCCTCCAGAAAAACGCGGGCAAAAATCCTTGATTATGCGATTAAACATGCAGGGTTTTTATGTGATTTTATGTGGTGAAATTGCGGGAAGTTGCGAAATATGCGGGAAGCGCAAAAAAGGTGATTCTTCTCCCACACCGTTACTAGGCTACTACTGAATGAAAGGGAGCCCTTTTAAAGAGTTCCTATGATAAACAAGCATACTAGAAGCAAGCTACATCACAGAAAGTGCTGGTAATGTTTTAGTTCTTTTTTATTATTTTCTCAACTTAAGCATGGCTTAAACATTCCTGAGTCACAACATTTTCAAAAAATAAAATAAATGCTTCCTGCTTTATAAAAGTGAGGTAGAACAGACCATCTGTTATGCTACAATAATATTTTCAAAGACAAAGACAGAAACTGAGTAACTGTTGAACATCAACTCGCCAGAATCACAGGATTTTGAAAATAACATATCTCTCAATGAGGCAACTTGACCATTGAATGGTTCTATAAAACGTAGGTAACACAATACTGTATTGCTATGCAATAACAAAACAAAACAAAGTGCAATAATCTCTCACAACTGTAAGGTTGTAGTAAAGTTAAGCTATGTGCACAAAAACAGTGCAATGATCTTACAACTGTAAGGTTTTTTAGAATAACACACACAAGAAATAGTGCAATCTTACAACTTTAAAGTTGTATTAACTACTGAATGCATCAACAAGAGTTCAGTGTATGAAAAATGAACACATAGGTTACCAACATTTTTTCAAGAGCAATCTTACAACTCTCAAGTTGTATTAATTCCTGCATTAAATGAGTCCACTGTGTTTGAAAACGACTGCATAGTCTGTGTCACTGTCCAATCATTCATCATCCTCCATCCCCTCTCCCTCAATATCCATATCCTCCCCCTCTATCACATTTCCCTTCTCCCTCTCCTCCCTCTCAAACGCTCCACTGAGGATCCGTTTGTTATGGCATAAGAAGACCAAGGCTTTGAGGTTTTGGTTGGTAGTTGATCTCCTTCGGCTGGACAACACCAGCTTGTAGATGCTGTTGCTTCGTTCAGCATCGGCTGAGTTGGAGACAGCATCTTTGTATCGGTGGGCCAAGGAAGACAGTACAGGAAGTCTCTCCTGTACGCCATCCCAGAACACATCCAAATCCACCACGCCAGACAGTGCAGCTCTGAGTGCTGCTGGACCCAGGGCTGTGAAATAAGAATCAAATTCATGTCTTGGCACGTGAGTGAAACCTGGAATGGCCTTGTAGCTTTCTACAGTCATCTAGGAATGCGATGTGACGAGGATCAAACACCCTGACCTCCTGGAGAAACTCTATGGCTGGCTGCCCATCTGACATGTACTTGGTGAGCTTTTCTTCAGCATTGACGTATGCCTCGCCAACTGTGCGGAGGATCTCGGTCTTCGTGCGGCGTGGCAGGTCAAACTCCTTGAAGTATTCGTCACATACCTCATACTGCATCTCTTTATTGGCAGCAATGACCATCTGCAGATCCTCCAGATAATTGAAGATCTTTGTGGTCACTGGGCGTCTGCTCTCGAAGATGTCTAGTAGATTGAGGATGTGTTTGCAATTGTCAGCCATGATATTGATCTGCACATTCAGGGACTGAGCCAGGTTTGGGTCTTGAAGCATGTCCTGGAGTCTCTCCACAGACTGTGGTACACTTCTGCCACACACCTGTGAATGAAAATCACAAAGAGAAAGAAAGTGATTAGGTAAAACATACAGTAAGGCTTAAATGTTACTACATTTTACGTTGATATAATTAACACATTCATGTTTGTGTGTGTAGGTGTAAGGGGCCTAATTGGTGGAGAAAGGGATAATTACTGTTATGTGAAGTTACACATTTATTTACCTGTGTTTCCATCTCGATGAACTTCTTGTACAGTCCAAAGTACTCTCTGTGGTATTGTACTGCAAAGAACCAGGAGTTCCACCGTGTTGCACAGGGGTTTGGAGGCATGGTCACCTTTTTTCTTGGCAGCTTGTTTGTCATGAAGTAGAGATATCTTCTCTTGCGTGATCCAGCATTGAAGAACATCTGGGAGAAACTCATCATGAAGCTGTTCAACTGAACAAAAGGTTTGCGGAAGGCATTACCGATGAGGTTCATTATGTGTGCCATGCACGTGATGTGCAGTGAGTTGGGATACAGCACCTGCAGAGCAGATTTGAATGCCTTCTTCATGTAGGCTGCATTATCTGTGTCAAACAAAATCACATCCTCATTTTGAATGCTGTATTCTTGTAGGCACTTCACGACAGCCACAGATACAGTGGAATGATTGCACTGCTCAAGGAACACGGTGTCTGCAAGGTAGGCCAAGATCCGACCAGAATGATCCTTCTTGAGTGGATGTTCAGCACGCATCTCCCCTCTACATCTGGAGTATCATCAAATATCACAGCAACAGGTTTTCCTGCAAGAAGTGTCTTCAACTCTTCTTTTTCCTTCTCATATACTGCTCCCAAGTATTTCTCTTGAAGCTGGTGAAATCCTGGAATGGCGCCGCCATTGATTACTTTTTCATTCAGGAATTTCCTCATTGGAGGATGGTCGCTCTTAGACCGTGGAATGTTGACAGCAGTGCAGGTGACGACCCAGGTCTCACAAATCTACCAAAAAAAGAATAGATTTTTTTTAAATATTGGGCTGTCTTATTTATTCTCTCTCACACACAACCTGCCACTAACGTTAAACCCCTTTACTATTCAATTAAACACACACACACACCCACACACATCTCCGCCTCATTCATTCGTTATCTGACCAGCTTCAATCTTGTAGGCTACTCACCTCGTTTCTTGTAGCCCTCAAAAGGGTTTTGGAGGTTGATGCCTCGGTGAACGTGAGTTGTTTGGCTTTCTTGTCCGCAGCAGCAGAAAGCATTTTCGAATGTTTGAATGAATCAAAGTGGGTCGTCACCGTCAATTTTCTCTTATGCTCCAACACACAGTTGCACGGGGTGCAAAATAGTTTCCCCCCACTTTCGTGCAAGACATCGGGGTACTGCTTTGCCCGGTCTTTAGCAGAAATGTTCGTCGGTAAATGAGATGGATTAGATTTTTTCATCTTGGTGTTTTCTTTCTCGTGTGAGTTCCACACGTTCACTCTACGGTGTTGTTTACCTTCTGTGATGCGCAAGCTGATGACGTTGCGTCATCATCGTCACTACTTCACGTCAAGACGAGTTAACTTTTTTCCTCCTCAACTTTGTGTGGAAAAATGCGGGGATTATGCGCCCTTTTAAAAATCTGCGCCATTTTGCTGATTATGCGATTGCATAATCGCGTTTTTTCTGGAGGGTCTAACTTGTATACTAATAAAGGACTGGCTTATCTAAAGCCAGTTGAGTAGCACTTGAAATGTTTTAGCTCTATGAAACCTGATGTACTTATATGATTCTGTTTTCTTCAAGTTTGTATCGTGTTGGTCGAATGCACTTATTGTAAATCGCTTTGGATTAAAGCGTCAGCTAAATGCAATGTAATGTAATGTGTGTGTGTGTGTGTGTCTTTGTTGGTGCCTCAAAGCACAGGGGGAGAGGGGGAGAGGAGGGAGAGGCTGGTTCAGGAGCCCAGACACACTCACAACTATAAATGAACCGAAAATAAATAAAAAACAAGTTTCAATGTTTTTTCATATTGGATATGGTATGTTATTGGTTATGGCCATGTCCTTATGGATTATTGAAATGTATACAGTTTTGTTTCATATGGGTGTTTCCATAGATCTAGTCTCTTTATTTTCCCCTCAAAGTGCACCAGATTGATGCATTTAACTCAAAAAAAAAAAAAAAAAAAAAATCTTACCGGGGGAGCATGCCCCCTGACCCCCCTAGAGGATTTGAGGTCCACCCCCACTTAAAATCACATGGACAGGTTCCTAAATACATTTTTTTAAATGTTTAAATAGTAACCCATGTCCATATGATTATTTGTGGGTAGTAGATTTAAAACAATAGGGCTATCACTATGGGCAGCAACGCTGTAAATATTCACAAATAAATCCAGCAAAATGGCACAAAAGAAAAACTGGTAGTGGCCTGGCTGGGTGTATAATTTCCGGCCTGACTTATTGTCCCAGTCCGGCCTTGTGTGTGCGTGTTTTTGAGTGTGTGTGTGTGTGTGTGTGTGTGTGTGTGTGTGTGTGTGTGTGTGTCTGTGTGTGTGTGTGTGTGCGCACGCTTCGTTTTAAAGACCTCCATATAGCTCAGTTTATAACTCAAACCCTGGTCTAAAGTGCTATGAAAGAGTCTAAAGTGTTATTAATGTGATAATAAAGTGTTACTGAAGAGTTTAAAGTGTTAATTAAGAGTAAAGGGAACAGACCTGCTCTGTGTATCCGAAGCTGAGGCTGTAACACAGCGTCCAGTAGTTTCTGGAGTCTCTCGTTCTCCTCTTTGGAAAGAGACAGCTCCTCATCGTGCTCTGCTATCGTTTTTTCAAACAGAGCAAATATATCTTCAACAGCAGCAGTGAGTCGCTGCTTCTTCAACGACAGCAGCATTTGTACTTCACTCATGTTTACTAGATCACCTTTTCCTGCAGACTCCGTTAAACACACCGTTTCTCTCTCCATCAAACTCTCCATCTGACTAGTGTTGCTAACGTGTTTCCAGCTAGCATGCTAAGCTAGCTCCTATAGTCCGAGGTAAACGCTCCAGAAAAAAGAGCACAGAGTCCATTCAGAGGTTTATCCAGACACACAGATGATGGATCAGTAGTGCTGGAGCCCACACACACTTTATCGGGAACACAGAGAGAGAGAACCGTAGCGACGAGACGCCTCCTCGATCCAGGTTAGAAAGAGCTGGGAACTTCACTTCCGGTGAAGACGCCTCCTCCTTCTTCTTCTTCTCTCAGTTTTTGGCGGATTGCAAACAACTTTAACTTTTAGTTGCATACCGCCACCTACTGTACATGAGTGTGAATCATCATATCATTCCATCTCTTAACTCATGGACGTATCTATGATCTAATCAAAAATAAATAAAAAAACATAAAATAAATAAAACAAAACAATCATCCATGATCTATTCTAACCTAATGTTAAATTATGTTTCCTACCCCAGTTTCCCTCAGAAAGGTAAACAGTGCCTTTCTGGTAGCTCTTACTCCCTCTCCTTCTGTTCCCAGAATACCAACCACACTCCATTCCCTCTCTGCCTCTATCACTTTATCCTTTAGTTTTTCTCTTTCAGCTTTATAGATGTCACAATGTAATAAGATATGTTCCACATGTTCTTTAACTTCACAGCTCCCACACTTGTCACTGTCACTTTTCCCCATGACATACAGAGTACCATTCAATGCTGTGTGATTTAGTCTGAGTCTAGCTATCATGATTTCCTCCCTTCTGTTTCTTTCTTTATAAATATTAATTGTGATTGTCTTTTGAACTTTATGATACTCTTTGCCTTTCTGGTCTTTCTCCCACCTTTTCTGCCAGATCTCCATCCCTTTCTTCTTAATCACTGCTTTTCCTTCTCCTTTTCCAAGTTGAACTGGTAATGTGATTTCCTTTTGTAGTGCACTTTTTGCTCATTTATCAGCACACTCGTTCCCTTTCACCCCCTCATGTGCAGGCAGCCTGCAGAACTGCAGATCTATACCGCCTCTGTGAAGTCTTAACAGGCTATGATTCAGTTCTATGAGAATGTCTTCTCTGACAGTTGTTGTTGACTGTATGCTTTTTAATATGGACAATGAATCTGTGCATATCACCACCCTATCTGGTCTGACCCCTTCAACCCACTGTAATCCTATTATTACAGCCAGCATTTCTGATGTGTACACTAATAGTTGATCTGACACTCTTTTTGAGATCGACATTTTAAAGTCTGGGATGTATACCAACAATATAAAGAACAGGTACCCCCTTCCTCTTATCTCTTCAGCATTTGAACTATTACAGGATGCAAAGATCTTTACTAAACTTGATCTTCGAAATGCTTATCATTTGGTAAGGATAAGGGAGGGGGATGAATGGAAGACTGCTTTCAATAGTTCTGTAGCTGCCCCACTGCATGCTTTAACCTCCCCCAAGGTGAAGTTCCAGTGGTCCCCCCTGGCAGAACAGGCTTTCCGGAGGCTTAAGAGGAGCTTCACTTCGGCCCCTATTCTCACGCTTCCTGACCCACTTCAGCAGTTTGTGGTGGAGGTTGACGCTTCAGATGTGGGCGTTGGGGCAGTCATCTCTCAAAGGTCGAAGAGAGACAACAAGCTCCACCCCTGTGCTTTCCTGTCTCGGAAACTCTCCCCAGCCGAGAGAAACTATGATGTGGGTAACAGGGAGCTGTTGGCAATTAAGGTGGCTTTGGAGGAGTGGTGCCACTGGCTGGAGGGAGCCGAGCACCCTTTCCTAGTCTGGACGGTCATAAGAACCTTCAGTACATCAGATCTGCAAAACACCTCAACGACAGGCAAGCCAGGTGGGCCCTATTCTTTACCCGATTCAACTTCACTCTGTCATACCGTCCAGGTTCTAAGAACGCTAAAGCTGATGCTCTATCTCGCCTGTTTGATTCCGATCCAGCTCCTCTCACTCCCTCGCTAATCATTCCTCCCTCTTGTGTAGTGGGGGCAGTCACATGGCACATTGAGGAGAGGGTCAGGCAGGCGAGTGCTAATGTTTTGGTTCCAGACGGTTGCCCACAGAACCGGTAGTTTATTCCTGACCCCCTTCTCTCACAGGTCATCCACTGGGCACATACTTCCCTCCTCTCCTGCCATCCTGGCGTTTGCCGCACCATGTTCTTCAGTAAGCAGCGGTTCTGGTGGCCCTCCATGGAGAAGTCTGTCAAGGAGTACTTGGCAGCCTGTTCAGTCTGTGCCCGGAACAAGACTTCCCGTCAGCCCCCTTCTGGTCTTCTGCGCCCGCTTCCAGTGCCACATCGCCCTTGGTCTGACATCTCGTTGGACTTCGTCACAGAGTTGCCGCCGTCCCAAGGTAACACCACTATTTTGACAATTGTGGATAGATTTTCGAAAATGGTCCATTTTGTCCCGCTGCCTAATGGCGCGTTTCCACTACAGCCCGCAGCCCGGTTTAAGAGGGCTGTGACGTCAGCGGCCCGTCTTTGGTTGCGTTTCCGGCGGGTCCTAATTCACAGTTTTTCTGGCCTCATAAAATCGTGGGTCTAGGGCCAGAGACAACGAGGCTGAGTCGGGCTGAGTATGCTAAACTAGAGAGAGCGTCGCTGGCAAGGGGGCAACAACTACAACAAGATGGACATATTTGACCGTGATTTAATTGTAATACACGTTTCAAAATGATGCCGAAGTAACAACATACTGATACCGGTTAGTAAAAACCATGAATTAATGCTTTGTCAAGTCTGCAGACAGACGGCAGGGGAAAAACCTTTTAAAATGCTTGTTTTCTAAATGGAGATTGGCTAAGCTAACGCAGTATATCCTCCGACCGTCCACACTCACAACAACGGCCTATACAGACATAAATAAAGCAGCGACTGTATTCACCATGACACAGGCAGCCTGTGGTTTGTACTTGTTTAACTTTTGTCTAGTTTCTGAACATATATGAGGAGCTGTGAGCTCTGAGTGCTAACAGCTAACGGCTGTGTTGTTTTTCTGGGGTCCTCTGAAGATCACGTCACGGCTCCGCCTACACTGCGTTACTATAGATACTACCCCAGTTCCTAAACTGTAATGGAAATGCGCCATAAAGTGAGCCAGTCCTAACGAGGCCCAGCCATACCGAGCGGGGCCGAGCGAGGCCGTGTAGTGGAAACGCGGCATAAGTTGCAATCTGCCAGAGAGACAGCAGAGGCAGTGTTGTTCCATGTTTTCCATCTCCATGGTTTCCCTAGGGATGTTGTGTCAGACCGGGGTCCACAGTTTACCTCACAGTTTTGGAAGGCTTTCTGCTCGCTCATCGGTGCCACAGTCAGCCTCTCTTCTGGACATCATCCGCAGTCTAACGGCCAGACGGAGCGGCTGAATCAGGAGCTTGAGACCTGTCTACGCTGCCTGGTATCTCAGAACCCTGCCACGTGGAGCACGCATCTTATTTGGGTGGAGTACGCACACAACACTTTGCCTAGTTCTGCTACTGGTCTCTCACCTTTTCAGTGTGCCTATGGATACCAGCCGCCGTTGTTCCCCGACCTGGAGAGGGAGGTCAGTGTTCCATCTGCCCATGCCCTCATTCGCCAATGTCATCGCACCTGGAGCCGGGCCCACCAGGTGTTACTACGGAGTTCAGCCGTATAAGAGGATGGCCGATCGCCGACGTATCTCGGCTCCTGCCTACCAACCTGGACAAAGTGTGTGGCTCTCTACTCGAGACCTGCCCCTTCGAGTGGAGTCTCGCAAACTGGCTCCTCGTTTTGTGGGTCCCTTCCCGGTATACAAGGTCATCAATCCAGTGGCAGTGCGGCTTCGACTACCTCGATCCTTGAGGGCCTATCCTACATTTCATGTGTCACGCATCAAACCGGTTAAAGTGAGTCCACTGGTTCCCACCTCCAGACCCCCTCCAACCCCCCGGTTTATTGATGGTGGACCTGTATATACTGTGAAACGCCTCTTGGCAGTTCGACCTAGAGGCCGGGGACGTCAGTACCTGGTTGACTGGGAGGGCTACGGTCCTGAGGAGAGGTCATGGGTCTCCACCAGTAATGTTAGTAAGGACCTCATCCAAGACTTTCAACGCCAACACCCTGAACTACCTGGGACGTCAGGTGCCGTCCCTAGAGGGGGGGGTACTGTAAGGCCCTAGCCAGCATGTTGATGTTTTTGTTATTGTTCCTGTTTTCATTTTTGTTTCTCTCATTTCAGTTTCAGCTTTCCTGCCCTTGATTGAACTCCACCTGCTTCCCATCCCTAATTAGCCTCACCTGTGCCCCATTATCATCTCTCCCTCTGTCTACTTATGCCGCGTTTCCACTACACAGCCTCGCTCGGCCCCGCTCGGCCTCCTTTGGCCGCGCCCGGCCTCGTTAGGACCAGCTCACTTTGTGGCGCGTTTCCATTACAGTTTAGGAACCGGGTCAGTATCTATAGTAACAGTGTAGGCGGAGCGACGCTGCTTAAAACTGCCGTGACGTCATCTTCAATGCGACACAACAATGGAGATGTGAAAGCGATCGTTTGCTTGTTTTTTGCTGTGTGGTTTATTATCACAAGAAATAGACAAGAGTTGTTTCGAAAGAGGCGACGTATAGCAAGACGAGGTATAGAAGAAGCTGACGCGAGAGTTCGGGCAGTCCTCCTACGCCGCAGAGACTACAGGACGACTCGAATCACTACTAACTACAATGCTACTTGGTAAGCTAACGTTCGCTAACTAGCAATGTGTTTAGGCTCACTCTCCCTATACGACCAAAGTATTTCAAGTATTTAATTAATTGTAGCTACCACTTTTACGTATTAAAATATGTATGCTTTTGTTTGTGTATTTCAGAAGTTACCGACCGAGCTACCGAGTGGTGGAATGTGATTGTTCCATCTTTCACACACTCAGTGGGTGGAGAACTTCAGGATGCCTGAGGAAAACCTACGTGTAATACCTAAATATTCATTGTATTGTATTGAACATAAATACATCTTTTCTTTTTCACATACATGTGTTTGTCAAATTATTTAAACCAAAAAAATGTTATCAGAATTGACTATTTAGTAAATATTTGAATTTCAAGCACCAGTACTGCCCCCATAATAATAATCTAATAAATTAAGCAAATATCAAAGCAAACTATAAACATAAATACAAAAGTGTAAAACACAACAGAACTATATTCATAAATGCAAGTGTAAAAAATTGTTAACATGGATGGAGGCTAAAGTATCCACAGCATAAAATAATATGATTATGATGGTTTGTCTGAAAGACACAGCCTCAAGGTTCAAGGTTTTTTATTTTGTCATACGAACATAGCTAGTGTAGTTATGACAATGAACATCTTAGGTCACAGGCTCCTCCAACAGTGCAACACAATAACCCAGATCAACAGAAATATAGTGCAAGTAAATATTAAGCGCTGTGCACCGCTCTCTTTGTATAGGTGTTTTCTTTTGTTCTCTTCTCTTTGAAATATATAAGCAATGTGTTTGAGTCTAGCACAACGAGGGTATTACAATTGAGTAATTTTTCTACATGTATTTATCATGTATTCTTAATACCATTATGTAATGTTATGTTTTAGAGGAGGACCTCAAGCTAGCAAACTCAATTTCAAACAGTATGCAGAGTTGTCCTGCTAAAGAGTTAAAATGTATTATTTAACCAAGTATTTATTCTCTTATTTGCTTTAATTGCAACAGATGATAAAGGTTTCACTGTGATAAGTATTCTCTTAAATCCATAAACCCCTGTACAGTGCTTTGTGGACGATGGTGTTTATGATATTTCTGACTGCAGAGGGACGCCTAGATGATGCCATCTTTCTGTGCGATCGCTGGTGGGTGCAATTATTTATCAACAAGCAATAAGATAAGACATGGCATTGATTCTGCTGGGCCAGTTGCCGTTCCTGCAGGGCCAGATCGTCTCCTCCTCGGTTTGTGCTGTTGATGCAGAGGACGTTGTTCGGAACTGTTCCTCCTCGCTAGTCCCAATGTAATCATCTAGAACAGAAACATGACTTGTAAATTCCACAAACTACTGCAGCACAATACTATAAATAGCAACAACAACTATAGAAAAGACAAACTGAACGTAAACAATGGCACATATGGTGTTAGCAAACAATAGCTCTCGCTAATGCTATCTGCCTAGCTAGCCATCGGGGTTGTCGAACATAAATGTAAGGATAAAATAGACTTATTTGTTAGAAGTGAGCTTTAAAACAGATAGGGACACAAAGCAGGGACACAAAGCAGGGACACAAAGCTTTCAAGCAAATAACACAGCGTTAGCAAAAACGTACCATGCAGACTCCAGTAACGCCGTTGGAGAGTCCAGTGTCTGTGTAGAGACCTCCTGAAAGACTTTGATATTGCGAGTTGTCCCATCGAGCACCCGCTGGACCTTATCATCTGCAATATAATGGACGTCGTCACTTCCTCGACCGACCATGGTGTGCTTTTCTTTGCCATTGTTGTAGCTCCTCCGTTAACAAAAATGCTGTTTGTAAAAATGGATTATCTCGCGCGCAGATTGTGACGATTCTCTCCGACCAATCAGCAGCCGAGAGCGTTGACGTCACAAACACAGCCCGGTTGTCTTTGGCCCTGGCCCCACGATTTTATGAGGCCAGAAAAACTGAGAATTAGGACCAGCCGGCCGGTACTAGGCCAAGTGGAAACGCAACCACAAACGGGCCGCTGACTTCACAGCCCTCTTAAACCGGGCTGCGCGCTGTAGTGGAAACGCGCCATTAGTCTGCATCCAAATTCCCTTCAGTGCCAGTTCGTCTTTGTTATTCCTAGCGTTCCAGCAGTGTTCCTAGTATCTGATTCCACGTGTACCTGACCCAGCTTCGTGTCCTGACCCGGTCCCTGTCTACTCCTCGTCTGTTTTGGTAGCCTTATTGACTGATCTCCCGTGTACCAAACCTTGGCTATAAAGACCCTTTTTTGCATCCTAAGCCTCTGTCTCTGAGTCGTGCTATTGAGTCCTCTACTTGTGTTCATTCAGTCGTTACACTTGGCATATCTCCTTCTCTCCAGATTTTATTGAAAAGCACCATTGTCATAGTTTCCATAGGTAACTGTCTAAACATAGCATAGCATAGCTGGTCTTGTCCTGGGGCTGTATATTCTGTACCTTGTACTGTAAGGCTATATGTAATTTCAAGATGTTACTGAAGTAAAAGTACAAAAGTATTGGGATCAAAATATAATTAAAGTTCCAAAAGTAAAAGTACTCAATATGCAGATCGACCCATTTCAGAATAATATATATGATTTGTTTTTATTATAATCATTGGTGCATTCATGTGTTTATCACATTGAAATGCTGGACTTATTTGTATTGTGTTGATCATTTCTACACACCGTGGTATTACTATTTTTATTTAAGTTAAAGTGCTGAATACTTTGTCCTTAAGTCGTCAAATTATACTTATATTTGTAAAAGTACCTGAAAAACTTAATATTCTGTAAAATGTATGTTATTTTTTTAAATTATAAATCTTAATCCATTAATGCTCAAATGTTGCCTCTGATCAATAGGAAGCAAGTGTACCTTTATATACTGCAGGGTAGCTTGTACATTTCCCATAGGGGCCAATAAAGCTCTATAATTATACATGAACAATTACTTGATTATAAGTATAAAGTAGCAGGAAAAGTAAATACTCAAGTAAATGACCTAAAAATGTTTCAGTAACTGAGTAAATGTACTTAGTTACTATCCACCACCACTGCTTTAGGATATAAACAGCTGTTATGAAATTGTTCAGTAGGTGTCATGAAGTGCACGTGATATCTATTTATAAATGGGGAAGAAGACTAAGAGGGAAGAAGCCCGTCACACACATTGTTTGGTTTTTTATACCTTTCATTTTCTTGAAACTAAGGCAAAGCACATTTCAGCATCAAAGAGTACAAGTTATTTTCTCTAGAGAAAATGTCAACAAAAAACCATTGCACAGTTTTAAGAATAATATACTGAGACCAAACAGCTTCTTCAGATAAGCACAAAATAAAATGTCCACAAAGGGAAACAGCATGTGGGACGTTCATTCCTTCAGAAGAGGGCACTGTGTTGATTTAAAATGGCTTAACGAGTGCCATAAAACAAACAGATCTTCTTTGAATAGTGGCATTAATAATATGTTTGAACTTACTGGAATGTATTCAACAGCAGTAAGAAAGCTTTCTGCAGCATCAGTGTTAAATCTCAGGAGCTGCAGCGCTCTCTAGTGGACACTTGTGACACCAGAGAGAGAAATGGCAGTACAGAGCTGCAGGGAAATGACCTTCAAAATAGAAATAGAACATATCTATAAATGCTGAGACACCAGTCCTAAACATATCATTTCTGGAGACAATGCTTTAATTACAGTTACAGTGCAACAGCCTAAAAAACACCCAACTGCACTGAAGTCACAGCAAGAAGAAAAGACAGGAAAAGACTTTGCTGCTATCTCCATACTCTCTCCTATATGGCAATCATTTCAATATTCCTCTGACCAGAAATACTGAAGAACACCGTTTCTAAACATCTTCCTGTTAAGCCCTAGAGCCCCCTGTACAGGGGGCAGTGGGGTGTTTTTTCACGAAACTGTGTCTCACGGCTTCTTAATATTTAAAAACCTATTAATGTGTCATACCCATTTAACGGGAAGAAACTCAGCTAACTGACAATATGAACCATTTTTACCGAAACAAAACACAAGTCTCACAAGAAGCGTCTAAATGAGACCTGAGCGAAAAAATGCTAACACACTTACCACAGAACTCAAGGTAAAAATACCCTTATTACTTATCGTAACTGCAAATACAAGATATCAAATTAAAGCTGAGATTCCACAGATTCTTTAGGTATAAGTATCATCACTGAGTGATCAGAACTCGTGACAGGGGAAGCAAACACAGACGTCAGAATTACGGAACATTCACGGGAAATCGTCTCAAATTAGCTGTTATTCTGATCAATAGTCGTATTCAATGGCATTACAATGATAAAAACGCAGCTGAAGGTTAATCCATAGGTTGATCCAATGTGTCTGTCACTTTGAAAGGATTACTGATAATCCATCATTGCATTTTTATGTAAAAAAACGGAGATTTCATATTATTTTTATTTGTCTAAATCTCTCTAAAGAGGTCAAATTTCACTTATTTTGCATCAATCTTGATACAGGGTACTTATTATATGTTGTAGTTTGGATTCCTAAAGCTTTTAGTCTACTAACCCATCATTCAAGGGTGGTTTTCACTATAAGTAATGGGTTTTTTGTAGGCGGAGGTAAGAATTGACCTTTTTTTACAATGTTCCATCTGAATTTACTCTGACACAGAAACATCTATATTGATTCTGACACTTCTACATCCAACTCACAGATGTAACCTTGCTTTGAGAAAAAATATTATTAATTTAACCTTTTTAGAAGTGAAGTTATAGTAATTTGTTCTGGGCATGTCCTTTTCGAGCCTGAAACCTGAAAAACAAGCTCAGGGCTTAACTGGATTAGCAAGCTAGCTAATTTAATGTTCAACCAACAGTTTGTTTTCTTCAAGAAATAAAATGCTTTCTCTAACAGTCGGAAATAAAATAAATAACCACTAACTTTGATGATGAATTCCTTCACTGTCACTGTACATTGCTAATTAGGTTATAAAACACATGAACAAACCATAGCTGTGTGTTTACCTGATGAAGCTGGCAATGTAGACGTTAACAAATGTGGCCATGAGGTACTGGCAGTCGAACCGGTCCATAATGCCACCGTGACCTGGGAGCGTGTTGGCAAAATCCTGGATGAACAGACACCAGTACATGTGATCAGACTGCTGCTATGAATATAATATACATGGAGCAAAGACAGCAGACAATAAAAGGGATAATTGGATTGTTTTGAAGTAAACAAACGTGTCAGAAATCCCTACTTTGATCTTGAAGGCTCTCTTGAAGCCGCTGGTGAAGAATCCTCCGAAGGGTCCCATGATGGAGGCGAAGGAGGAGAGAGCGATGCTGTGGATCTGGAACGGATACAGACGCACCGTGGTCTGCGGAGACAAGGAACATGTGTCAGACTGAAACAGAGACCAGCAGTTCAATCAAACTAAACTAGTTACTAGTTATTTGGCTAAAATAGGACTTGCATCCCCAGGCTTTTAGTATCAAAATCAAACCTGGCTGAGAAAAATATGATGAGGTTGAAACGTATGATAAAAACCTGGTGTTAAACGGGACTTCGGTTCTGTTAATGTGTACTCTAGAAACAACATTTAGATATATTTTAACTTTACTTAATGAGTAACACAGGATTAAAACTAAATAACATAGCTGACACAATTAAAGTGTTTGAAAGGTTGCGACACAAATACATTATTCTACAAATATGACAGATCCCTCTTGTTTTTTGGCATACTGGATTTGCAATAAAGTGATTTTATTGTTTCATAGTTACATGAATGTTTATATGACTTGTGATGCCAGAAAACAGGAAGGACAGATGAAGGTCAGGACAGTCATACCCATCCGGTGAAGGACTCCAGGACGGAGGGCAGGGCGTAGTCCTGCAGCTGGAAAAGCTCCGGCGGCTCGCAGTCCAACTGGAACCGGTTGGAGTCGTTGTTGAACTCCACCGGGCAGACGAAGTAACGCCAGCCGGACATCACGTAGGAGAGCTGGGGGAGAACAAGCTTCAAACACTATCACAGTTTCTTTCTTGTTCATTTACAACTTTATTATGAGTTATTTCCCAGACTAATACACCCTTCTGCTGGCTTTTAACCGACATAGGCCTTCAAACACTGTGATATCCTTCTCAATGTGAACATAGAGCCTGGATTATGACCACAAATCACAGGATTGATGTGTCTTATACGCTGAGTTGATCTTATCCGCTTCACAAATGTTGTCTTAGATGATTGCTTTCCCTTTGATTTAACAGGCACTGATTTTTCTGCTTGAATATTTCTAGCTTTGAAAAAAAAGGCAAGATAATAGACAAGGTGACACAGAGAAATATTTCTGGCTGTAAAAGACTTGAGCTGTGTTTATAAGTGTTTAAATCTGCAGTCTAACTTCCAGTCGTCTCATTAATAAATGTCAGACTTGCAGTGTGGTATAAAAGGCGAAATAAATACATAAAATGCAAAGTGTTAAATGTGTGCAGCGGGCGACACCATCTGGTCACAACTTAAATTATTTTACCATGTTTATGTGCAAATGAAGAACTCTCACTGGTTCAGAACCTTTTTCCTCAAGTGGGTCTCTTTTCTTTTCTGACTTTTTTTATGGGTATTTCACTTTATATTAAATACATAACAATAACAGTGCAGAACATCTGTCAGTAGGGGCTTGGACTGGGAGCCGTAGGGTCGCTGGTTCAAGTCCCCGACCAGACCTAAATATGGAGTGTGGACTTCTACTTGGAGAGGTCCCAGTTCACCTCCTGCCCTGCCGTGGTGCCCTTGAGCAAGGCACCGGACACCCCCCTTCCCCCCCACTCCCATTGCTCGCTGGGTGCTGTACAATAGCTGCCCACTGCTCCTAGTACTAGACTCCTTGTACTAGGATGGGTTAAAAGCAGAGGCCAAATTTCACTGTGTGTGCTGTGTGCTCTGCATGTGTGACCATTAAAGAGGGTTTCATCCCTCCCTATTATATTATTATTATTATCTAATACACTTCACTATGAATCCAGAACAATACAACTGCAGGAGTATGGATAAAGCCAGACGTTTGCATGCATTTTGAGCAGATTTGGATCGTGCTGTTCATCCTATGTAATCTATATGTAAAGAAAAAAGTCTAAATATTTAAGATAAAGCTGTGAAACAATCTCAATAATTGGCAGCAAAAATGTAAGTTTTTTTTAATTGGAATAAAAGGATACATGTTGAGATAGGAAGTTCTAATACCTTAAGAGAAGAGCTTGAATATTACTTTTGGCTCCTTCCTGTCTTTCTACTGGGTCTCTCTTGGCTTTGTTCTGGCTATCTTCTAGCTCTATTCAGGTTTTTGGAGTTTTTTTCTAGCTCTATCTGATGATTTTCAGAACCTGAAGGCTCTATACGGACTATCTTCTGGTTCTCCTCTGGGTCCATCCACTATCTCTTGTCTCTGTCCAGTGAATTACACTTGTGTTACTGGAGCAGGTAAAGCATACAACAGATACTTTCAGCATTATCGGAGCACGACATGGAAGCTCGGATGAAACACAGCGGACTTCTAAACAATGAACACCCGCAACTTGGAAGAAATAAAGTTGGGTTTTATGCGTTCTAATATTGCAATGCAAACCCATGATGTAATGACAGTAATTAAGAATAATTTAGTCATTGAATGCTCATTTCAGTAGATTTAATCAAACAAAACATAAACATATTGGACATGGCCTCAAGACTGTAACCTCTTCACATTCTGTTGAAACAGTCAATTACTAGCCATATCTCACACATTGCTGTTTTGAATCATTAATATGTGGATGACAGTTGAACTGGATGATGTAACATGTATGCCATCTGCTGGAAAGAAGACGTATCGCTCTGTACATTTCATAAACAATCTTTGAGTACAGACACCGTCCTGCAGAGAGCACACAACCCAACAGCACGTCTTTGGTCTAGCATCACTTTACAAAACGTTTGCATTAAGACACTAAGACTAGCTGGTCCATTGTAAAGGTCAGTCCACCTTAAATGAGCAGTGGGTGATCAGCAGGTGAAAGGCAGGACACGGGAACTTGGTCCTGAGGAGATGTAACGATTATTAGAAATAGTCGAGTCAAGGGCTCAAAGAAATGAACATTTGTGATTATTAGCGAATCGGTTGCAGGTGGGTGAAATCAGGCTTAGGGAGTAACGTATTACATGTAACGGCATTAGGTCATCAGGATACAAAATAGACAAATGTATTCCCTTACAGTTACAGAAGCAAAAACAATCAGATAACAGGTACATTTATGTAAAACAGGGCTCATTAACAGGATAGCAATGATACAAAACATTTAGAAATAAAGACCAATACATCAAATCATCCTATATCTCTATATGGAAACTTGGAGCCCTCAATCCAAAATAAAATGGTTCATCAACAGTCAGTGGTTAACGTATACGTCAGAAAATCAGTACGACAAAAACATTAAACATATTGTCCACTTATGTTGATTAGGGCCTGGCCGATTATCGAGGCCGATATTCCGCATTTGACCGATTATCGTATTGACATTTTGTTTATCCAATTGCCGATACAACTTTGGCTCTGATGCGGCAGTTTCTCTGGCTGCAGTCACCACTCTGTGTTCACGAGCAATGTCCCGCCCACAGCGCTATCTGATAGGCTATTACTGAAGTGTCAATACACACTTTTTACGGACTCTTTCCATGATTTTCCGGGCTGCAGCCAGCCAGAGAGGCGGGACCTTCTCAGATTACAGGCAGGTGCGAAGAACGTATACACAGACAGAAGCAAGCAGCAGCGGTGAGCAGCAGAGCCATACTGTACATGTGCTGAAGTTGCAAAAACACCACCATTTTATGATCCAATTCTATCAGTTTCCCAGTTACACAGGAAGTCAGTCAGAGTTGGGGGTGCGGGGGGGGGGTCTCTGATGTTGGATTTAAGTGCCTCATGGCTGCAGCGGAACCACGATATGCGCTGAAAAAATAGAAGTATTACCGCACCGTAAAGTATGATGTTCACCACCACAAGGTTGAAGAGAAGATAAAAGCCCTGATCCAACCAGAGAATGCTGGCCACTCAGTCTCCTTCACTACAGACTGATGGTCTGGATCGACCGAGTCACTGATGAGCCTAACATGCCACTTTATTGACAATGAATGGACCAGAAAGCAGGTTGTTTTGAATACAAAGGCGATGCATAGATCCCACACTGGGGAATATATCGGAGAGACATTCCTCGGCATGCTTGATGACTGGAAAATAAGCAAAGGCCGTGTAGCACTTGTGCTTCGAGACAGTGGAGCAAAAAAAAAGCAGCGTTTGAGGGCCATCCAGAAGGACCTTGGCTTGCCAGAACACAACCTAGTCCGGGCTGTCCCGACCAGGTGGAACTCAGCGCTCCACATTCTGCAAAGAGCACTGGAGCAAAAGCGTGCTCTTAGCATCTACGCCGGCGAACACGGAGGATTTGCCTGTCCTAATTCTCACCAGTGGGAAACTCTCATCCCAATAGAGGAAGTGACACAAGAGGTGAGCCATAACAACTCAGCGTCCTGCATCATTCCATGTCTGACTGTGCTGAAGATGCTATTTCAAGGTGAAGGGCCCTCGACACAAGGCATCAGAACACTCAGGCAAGTCATGAGGGAGAGCCCGGTGAAACGTTTCTCAAAACTGGAAGAAACAAAGATGGTGGTGCTGGCATGTCTCTTAGATCCTCGCTATAAGAATCATGTATTCTCCTCTGACGCTACACTGACCAAGGCCAAAGAGTGGCTGAAAGAGGATGTTACCAGTCAAGAAGAGCCTGCTGCTGCAGAAGATATCAGTGATATCACTCCTGTTCTGAAGTCCTTACACTGGCTTCCTGTGTGTCAAAGAATAGATTTCAAAATATTGTTGCTGGTTTATAAAGCTTTGAATGGTTTAGGCCCAAAATACATGTCTGACCTACTGCTAAATTATGAACCATCCAGAACCCTCAGGTCTTCAGGGACTGGTCAGCTTTCTGTCCCCAGAGTCAGAACTAAACATGGTAAAGCAGCGTTCAGTTATTATGCTCCAAATATCTGGAACAAACTCCCAGAAACCTGCAGGTCCGCTGCAACTCTTACTACTTTTAAATCCAGGCTGAAGACATGTCTTTTTGTCGCTGCTTTTAATTGAACTATTCATATCTTAAACTGCACTGTAACTTTTATCCATGTATTTTTTCCTTTTAATGTTTATTTTATTATCTTTTATTTTTAATGACTGATTTTAAATGCCATTTTCTTAATGTCTTCCATTTTTGTAAAGCACTTTGAATTTCCTTGTGTTGAAAGGTGCTATATAAATAAACTTGCCTTGCCTTGCCTTGCCTTGAGGAAGAGCAGGCTGCTGCTGCAATCTATGAGAAGAACAGAAGCCGTCTCCCTGGAGAGCATACTGAGCAATTCTGCTTTCTGCACCACAATCTGGTTCTGCTGAATTGGGACTCAAGGAGCCAGTGATCGTCAGGCGTAAGGGGGATCCACTCCAGTGGTGGAGACAAAATGAAGGGCGCTTCAAGCTACTTGCCACACAAGCAAGAAAGTTTATTTGCCCATCACCCTCGTCTGTTCCAAGTGAGCGGGTCTTCAGCGAAGTCTCTGCAATCTATGAGAAGAACAGAAGCCGTCTCACTGGAGAGCATACTGAGCAACTCTGCACCACAATCTGGTTCTGCTGAATTGGGACTACTAAATGAGACTCAAATTATCAGAAGTTCAGAACAAGTTTTAGTAGCTTTTATTTTATTTTTACTTCACTCAGGGTCACAGAGAGGAAACCAGTTTTAAGATGTTGAAAAGTTAATTAAACATATGCTTAAATGCATTTCAAAGAAGTTGTCTTGGAGTTTGTGTTAATCTAAATTTTGACA